ACAAAGCTCAAACGCGTGTTCCCCGAAAATATAAAAAAAAAAAAAAAAAAAAAAAAAAAAAAAAAACCCACCACTATGAAACATTGATAACACCGTGCCCTCCAAGGTTCTAATCCATGTGGCTGATCATGGGTTCAGATTCCCAGGTTGTCTTTAAAAATGCACAGGGTATCCAGGATAGTGAGAGGGCTGGGAAAACAGAATAGTGACACAGTAAGGCCCTGCTGAGGGTCTCTCTATCTTTCTCTCTCATGTACATGCCCTTTAACATAAAAAAAAAAAAAATTAAAAACACAATTAACAGAGTCAGCAGAAGGCATAATGATTAAGATGCTGGATTCCAACAATGGCCAACTGCAGTTCAAGTCCTGGACCCCTGGACCTGGTGGCTTGCTTTCTCACTTTCTCACTTTCTCTCTCTTTTCTCTCTCTCTCTCTCTCTCTCTCTCTCTCTCTCTTGTGCGTGTGTCACCTACAGCAAATTTAAATAACAATAAATAAAATAAAATAATTATTTTCTTAATAGGTAATTCATCTTTTTTTTTTTTAAGAATTGTTTATTTATTTAATTCCATTAGTAGTTATTTTTTAAGTTGACTAGAGACAGACAGAGAGAAAGGGAAAGCCAGAAAGCAAGCTGCCAGGTCAGGACTCAAATTGCAGTTGGCCATGTGGGAATCTAGCACCCTTATCCACCATGCCATCCACCAGCCCTTAATAGATAATTAAAAAAAAAAAAAACCTCATAATAACAAAGTTGTCATATCACAATAAATATTCTCAATTAATTTTATGGTTAGTAATCAGATGTTCAAAATAAAATCTACCTGGTAACATTTTAAAGTAAGTTAACTACGGAGGTCAAAAATTTTATTTTTATGGGGCCAGCAGGTGACATGGTCGTTAGGGGCTGGGTTCCCACATGGACCACTGCAGTTTGAGTCCCAGACCTGGTGGCTTGCTTTCTCACTTTCTCTCACTCTGTCTCTCGCTCTGTCCCTTACTGGTCAAATAAAGTAAATAAATAAATAAAGTAAAATAATTATTTAAAAAATAAAATTCTTGGAACCAGCAGTTAGTGTAATGGCTATGTCGCTGGACTCCCACATAGTTGACCGCGGTTCGCATCCTGGACCCGGTGGCTTAAAACTCACACCAGGCGCGTGTGCGTGCGTGCCCAAGATCCCGAGAGGAGAATGGAGAAGGGATTGCGGCATGACCATCCCCCCAGGGGGTGATTTCTTGCTTTCTGTCTCTATGTCTCTCTTTATCTGTCTGGCGAGCACACGCGCCCTATAGCGAAAAAAACCTCTCCAAAAAATATAAAATTAAATTATTTTTGCAATATTTTGTTTTGATATAATTTCAAGCTTACAGAAACATTCCAAAAATAGTACACAAGAAACTCCCGCATACCCTTTACTCAGGTTCCTACTTGTTTACATTTTAATCCACTTGTTCTCACTTTCGTTGTGTCTCTTTAATGTGCATATATGTAAATATTTGATGGTAAGCTGCAGACACTATACTACTTTACATCTAAATATTAATACCCAAAGAAGTGTTTCCACAGGGACCAGCAGGTAGCATGGTGGTTGAGGTGCTGAGGTGCTGGACTTCCCACATGGCCAACCACAGTTCAAGTCCCGGACCTGGCGGCTTGCTTTCTCTCTCTCTCTCTCTCTCTCTCTCTCTCTCTCTCTCTTTCTCTCTCTCTTTCTCACTCATGTGAAAGAATAATAATGATAATAAAATAAAATAAAATAATTCTTTTAAAAAAGAAGTGTTCCGAAAGACAGTGTTTTCCACAGTCACAGTAAAATTATCAAAATCAAGAATGTAACACTGGGGGCCAGCCAGTAGCATGGTGGTTAAGGATGCTGGACTCCCACATGGCTGACAGTGGTTCACAACTCAGACCTAGTGGCTTGCTTTCTCTCTTTATCTCTCTTTCTCTCTCTCTCTCTCTCTCTCTCTCTCTCTCTCTCTCTCTCTGGTCAAAGTGAAACAAGTAATAATAAATAAAATTAAAACAAAAAAATTTTTTTTTAAAAAATGTAACATTGGGATCTGACAGTGGCATCGTGGTTAGGGTAGCTGGATACCACATGGTCAACTACTGGGTTATTGGAAAGTCATGACTAATTTTTGCATACAAAAACATAGAGAAATACATTATGACTTTTCTGACAACCCAATACATTGTTCAAGTCCCAAATCTGATGGCTTAAAAAACATACTGGGCACACAGCATGTCCAAAAATCCCAAGAAGGGAATGGAGGATAAGGGATTGCACATGGCCCTCTGGGGGACTGCTTTCTCACTTTCTCTCTCTCACACACACACACCCTATAGAAAATAATTAAAAAAGAAAAGACGCTTGGCACTTATTATCAGAGAAATACAAATCACAACTATATTAAAGGCCATGAGGTGAGGCAGTGGTAGCACAACACTACAATGCTGAACCCATGTGGGAAGATTCTGGGTTTGTGTCCCAAGACTTCACTGTACACACCAGACACACAAACACGTGCCCACAATTTCATGGCTAGGGTGGATCACAGCCATGAGGACCCTGTTCAGAAGATCTTTTTCTCTATCGCTCAAAAAATAAGTAACAAAAAAAAACACAAGGAAATACTACTCAACCCACTAGAACGGCAACAATCAAAATGATGATAGCAAGTGTTTGCAAGGATGTGGAAAAATTGAAATCCGCATACACTCATGTTTCAACCATTTTGGAAAAGAGTCTTACCATTCATTAAGAGGTTAAACATAGAATGACTATGATCCAGCAATTCTACTTCTGGGAATGTACTCAAGAGAAATGAAAATGTCCACATAAAAATCTGTACACAAATGTTCATAAACATTATTCCTAATAACCAAAAAGTGGAAACACCCCATATGCACTCATCAACGAGTGAATGGATAAACAAAATATGGTATATTAACGCAATGGACTATTATTCAGTGTGGTAGGCAAAATAATGGCCTCAAAAATGTCCACACCCCGATCTCTAAAAACCATGAATATGTTATCTTATGTGGCAAAAGGTACTTTGCAGATGTGATTAAGGTTAAGGACCTTGAAATGGAAAGATTACCCTGGATTATCTAGGTGAATACAATCTAATCAAATGAATTCCAGTTGCAGAGAATCAGACAGATGGTAACGTAAAGACCCAAACTTCCACTGCTGGCTTTAAAAATGAATTAAGGAAAACATGAGCAAAAGAATGTGGTGACCTATAGAAGGTGGAAAATGCAAGGAAACAGATTCTCCCGTAAAGTCTTCAGAAATGATGAAGCCCTGTTAACACCTTGATCTTAGACCAGTGAGACCTGCTTGTACTTTTGACCTACAGAATCATAAGTTAATACATTTGTGTTGTTTTCAGCCAAAAAATTTGTACTTGTTGCAAGAAAAAATAAAAAAAAAAATTATTTTTGAAATAAGAAGAAATGAATTACTAATGCATGCTACAACATAGACAAGCCCTGAAAACACTATGCTGAGAGTTCAAGAAAAAGAAAATTTACAAAAGCACACATGTATGAGTCCTTTTAGTAGGTGCTAGGACTGGAGGGTTTGGAGAAAAATAGAAAGGGAGGAACTACTAACGTATATGAGGTCTTTTGGAGGAGTGATGAAAACGTTCTAAAAATTTATTGATGTAATAATTGTATAATTCAATGAGTATACTAAAAAGCACCTGAAGGCAGTACGAGGATTATATGGTACATAAATTATATCTATATCTATAAAATTATTCAAGAAAGAAAGAAACCTCATTTTAAAAAACCACAGGTGGCATGGTGGTTAATGTGCTGGATCCCACATGGCCAACTCCACAGTCTGAGTCCTGGACCCAGCGGCCTGAAAAACAAGCCAGGCATGTGGGTATCTTGCCCAAAATCCCAAGAATGCAGGAGAAGGAATCATGACATGGCCATCCCCCTGGGAGGTGATTTCTCACTTCCCTTGTCTGTCTCTTTCTCTGTGGTGAGCACACAGGCCCTATGGCAAAAAATAAAAACAAAACAAAAAACAAAGGCAGATGGCATGGTGATTAAAGGCAGAGGGCATGGTGATTAAAGCTGCCGAACCCTACACACTGCCTGTTCAAGTCCAGATCCGGTGGCTTGAAAAATATGCAAGGTGCATATGTGTGCATATCCAAGATTCCAAGAAGAAAACGGAGAAGAAAGGGATGCAGTGTAGTCATCCCCCCTAAGAGGCTGTTTTATCACTTCTCCTTTTTGTCTCTCTGGCTCTCTCTAGTGAGCACACGAGCCCTACAGCAAAATTTAAAAGAAAAAGAAAAACCTGTAGTTTTTCTTACAGTGTAGTAACAAAATTCTTATCCTGGCAAATGCTAACAATCTGCTTGAGAAACCATGGAAACTAAAGAAATGTACAGTAAAACACAGGTAGGCCCAGCCTCAGTGGCACAGGTGGCAGCATGCTGAAGAGCACTAAAAGCCACATGGCCAACCACAGGTTTGGATCCCAAGTCTATCTTGGGGACTAAGCATCCAAGATCCTAATGAGTCTAAAGACAGAAGAGGGAATCACTGTCTCCTTTTCTCTTTCTTTGTCTCTCTCTTATGCATGCATAGGTGCTCCTAAGCATAAAAAATAAATAAATAAATAACAACAACAACAACAAAAAAAACCACACTCACACAAAACATGCAGGTGGCATGGAGGTTAAAACACTGAGTCCCAGAAGACAACTATGCAGTTCAAGTCCCAGATTCAGTGGCTTGAAAATCATACTGGGCACATGTGTGTGCATGCCCAAAATCCTAAAAGAAGACTAGAGGAAAAGGGATTATGGAGTGACCATTACCCCCTTGGGGTGATTTCTCACTTTCCCTCTCTGTCTCTCTATGGCAAACATGCACACCCTATACCAAAATCTAAAAAACAAAAAAGAAATGCTTCTCCAAATTATAATGTTCTTCATCTTTTACCTTACATAATTTTATATCTGGATTCAACTTCTTAAGTTCTTCATTTGGAACTGGATTACTTCTTCCTGGTGGTATAAACTTTGGTTTTTTAAAGGAATTTCCCTGCAACTGACTTGGTGCTGCAGACCGTCTCATATTCAGCAATACTGACCTAAAAAAAAACCAAACAGAAATCATCCATAAATCTCATTAGAATAATTTCCAACTATAAAAGTAGCTCATCAATATAACCATGTCTTTTTTTCCCCTTTTTTTAAGAATTGTTTCGTGTGGTAGACGCATGGTGGTTACAGCACTGGACTCCCACATGGCTGACCATAGTTCAAGTCCTAGACCTAAACAGCTTCCTATCTCTCTCTCTCTGGTCAAAATGAAAAATCATCAGGGACCAGCAATTAGCATAATGGCTATGTCGCTGGACTCCCACGTAGTCGACCACGGTTTGCGTCCCGGACCCGGTGGCTTAAAACTCACGCCGGGTGCATGTGCGTGCGTGCCCAAGATCCCAAGAGAATGGAGGAGAAGGGATTGCGGCGTGGCCATTCCTCCTGGGGGGTGATTTCTCGCTTTCTGTCTGTCTCTCTGTCTGTCTGGTGAGCGCATGCACCCTATAGCGAAAACCTCTCAGAAAAAAAAAATCAAATAAATTAAATTTAAAATGTTTAATTTATTTAACTTTATTCGTTCATTTATTTATTTATTCATTTATTCATTTTAATTTGAGCAGAAAGGGAGAGAATGAGAGAGGGGGAAACTGAGAAAGCAAGCTGCCCAGTCCGGGACTCAAACCTCAGTCAGCCATGTGGGAATCCAACGCCCCCAACTACCATACTACCTGCCAGCCCCAACAATTATTTTATTGAAGTTGACCAGAGAGAGACAGAAGGAAATAAACTTTTTTAAAAAGGGAAGGAGGAAAAGCAGGTGGTGTGGTGGTTTGAGGTGCTGGACACTCCCACGTGGCCGACCATGGCTCAAGTCCCAGACTGGTGGCTTGCTTTCTCACTTTCTCTCCCTCTCTCTCATCTCTCGCTGGTTGTTGTAGAGTGTAACTGAATGAACAACCACCAAAGCCAGATTAAGGTTAAAGAGAGTCTTTATTAGCTAGCCAGCGACTACAGTTCTGATTCTCTGCCCCTGAGCCTCAGGCTGTAGTCGTTGGCCCCCTAATAGACTCCCTTTAACATTTTCTGGCTTTGGTGGTTGTTCATTCCGTTACACTCTACAACACTGGGAGGCCCCAGCGAGATTTGGGAACCTTAGAGTGGCCAAACAATGCCCCAAGGAGGACATTGCTTACACCCTGTCCTGGGTCTCAAGAGGGGTAAGGAAGCCTCACAAACACAAATCAAAAACTGGAGTCACTTGTGGCTCCTGAATCTAGTAAGATTCTTGTTATCTTGGGTTGAGAACTCTCTTGGTGGGACTTTT